AAGTCCCTCCCTGGTGCTTCTGGGAAGCCTGAGGACCCTCTGCAGGGACACTGTCCTGCTCCACAGGTGCCTGCTCTTCTCTTCCAGCACCTCTGAGAGCTTTCAGGGCCTCACAAGGACTAAGACGGCACCGGTGCAGCTACACAGAAAGTCATGGTCCCCTGTATGTTCCCAGCCAGCCTCCAGGGCTCTCAGACAGGCATGTCATCCCCATCCACTGCTCACCCCCCACATGGCCTCACACACAGTGCTAGAGACCAGTGCTTCTTAAAACTTCAGCAGAAAGAATGGTAAGGGAAATCCAAACCCTACCTCTGGCCCCAGGCCCTCTCTCCCCCTAAAGAAGTGCCATGCGGGGACTCAGAAGTCCTGCCCAGCTGTGGAATTCTTGCCCCTTCATGGTCAGATGAGGTCTGTCAAGGGTCCTGAGGACCCAGGCCCTCAGGGAATAGTGATGGCAGCTTGAAGCCCCTGCTCCATGCCAAGGACTGAGGCAGGGGTGTAGCTCCTGCAGAGTTCTATCTACATACAGCTCCCCCATCCAAGTCTGGGCCCTGCAATGGCAACCCCTGGCCCCTTGGGACAGTGCAGGAGGCACTCAGTGGGAGGCAGAGCCCTCTCTCCAACTGCACATGACATTGGACACTCTGGTCTGTGCAGCACCTGGTAGTGTCCCAGTGTGGCACAGCTATGCCGAGTCAGGTGTCAGTGAGGGCCAGCGGGTCCCTGGCTTGCCACCCCAGCGTGTTGGGCAGGGGCCGCGGGCAGCAGGGACCGGCCTCAGGGACGGGTGTCTGGTGCGTGGCAGGGCAGCCCTCCCAGGAACGCTGCCCACTAATCGGCAGGCCAGGGGCCAGATAGTGAATACTCCACATTTTTTGGCGCCTCAAGGGCCTGGTTGGAAACAGTCGCTGTTTTATTCTGCAGAAACCACACGCTTTGCATCCCAGAGCCTCACAGCGAGTGGGGGTGGATTCCAGCTGTGGCTGTCAGTGGGGTGGGGGTGGGGGTAATCTGGGGTGACAGGCCATCACTTCTCAGGTCAGGCTAGGGCCTGGGCCCACCCATGGCTCCATTCAAGGTCTCTATCAGCGCAGCCGAGGCAATAGGAGATGGAGGAACCCAGATCAGAGGGCACTGAGACCAGGCTCTGAGCAGCCTGCTGCTCCCTTGGCCACTAGGTCTCTCTCAGTGGCCACTGAGGGCCTAGAAAAGATTCAGATCATGTCCTATGGCCAAGGATTCCCAGCTGACAAAGGCCTATTTCTTACTACCAGGAAGCCTAAGGGTGATGTCCTCCCCATCGGGGTAGTCCCTGGGTTAGTCAGACTGGTTTGTAGTCAGACAACCTGGGCCTCATTTCAGCTCATGGCTAGCACATCCAAGATCAGTGGGGAGAACATTCAAGTTCAAGCAGGGAGGTCACACAAGAGCACAGAGCCGGATAGACCAACAGAGGAGGAGCAGAGGCCTGGTCTCACATTCTGATCTTATGGTCCCCAGCAAGTGGCAGCAAAAGGTCCACAGATGCCAGTCTTTATAAATAGGCCTTCCCTGTTGGGGTGCACTCAGAGTACTTGTTCTGCTTTCCAGACCATAGACACCATAAGACAATGTCTGGCCCCTGAACTTCTGCATGGGAACCCCACGGACTGAGCACCAATACTTGGCTGTGATCTGCACCCCATCAAACACACAGACCCTGGGAGGCCAGAGTCTGAAATGAGCAGAGAACGCAGGAGAAGATCCAGGTTCCCTACTGCATGTTGAACTTCATTGTCAGAGTGGACTCCAAGGGGTGAGGGAAGCGCAGGATGATGTGTTTGGAAGGATAGAAAGCGCGGGTGACAGGGCCATGGTGATGAATGTAGTTTTGCTGGATGCTGTAACCCCTGCATTTTCACAGCCCACCCCCTCAAGGCCCAGAGCAGCCTCCCCTGCAGGGGCAGTATTGCGACAGATTAGGCTTCCTGCTCATCTTTTTGGGTACCTTAGGGGTTCTGAAACATCCTTCTCATGTGCATAGGGTAGATAAATGGGTCCCCTCTCATCTGAGGGGAGATAGTTTCAAGAGGTATTTCCAAAACCCTAGGGGGCCTCATTCTTGGATGAGGGGTGACTCATCCTTGAATCCCCCTAGTAAGCTATATATCCACTAAGATAGCATCCAGCAGCCCACTTGTAATCTTTCAATGGTACCCCAATTTTCTTGGGACATCCCATCCTTCCCCATTTTCCATTCTGTACTTCTGGTAGGATCCCATCTTATCACAGGCTGGCACAGAGGATCCTAGCTCAGTCCATCATGACATATAAAGCCCTCAGAGGTTGACTGGAGGTGGTTGCCTGGTTGCCTGGGCCAATCGCAGGGAATCTGGGACTCTGCCACCAGGGCAAACCCAGGACCAAGGCTGAGTGACCACTGCCATCATATGGGTACCCAGCAGAAGAGTTGGCCAGGGCGCTCAAAGCAGGTCTATCTCAGCTACCATGCACTCAACACAAGTATTCACAACCCAGAGGGGCTACAGTGGCCCAAGCTTATTCATGGGGCACCCAATTCACCCAAAAGATTCATTTAAATCAACATTTCTTGGGCTTCCCTGGTGGCGTAAGGGTTAAGTCTCAGCACAATTACTCCTGGGGCCTGAGTTGAATACCAAGCCAGGAAGCTGACCCACATGGCACAGCAGATCTCTCCTTTCACCAGCTGGTCCCCTCAACATTGTATTTCCATAGATCGGCCTGCTTTGCTCCCCACACCTTCCTTCAACCCTAAGCAATGCAAGGAAGCCCCTTTGAGGTTTGTCCTTGACCCCATTTCACCCACATCTCATGCCAACTGGAGAGCAGATACCAGAGGCCTCCCACCCAGAGGTCTGTCTGAACCTTGCTTGCCGCTAGGAATCCCAAGGCTGCAGCATGGCCTTGACAAGAACACAGGGACCTGGCCGGCCATCCCGACAGCCACTCTTCCAGAAGGTTCCATGGTCACAGACAGGAACACCAAGCTTAAGGAGGCACCCTGGATGCCTGGAACTTGACCTCACTGGCCCTGGAGGGACCACTGACCACAAGGCAAGAACAGGGTAACAGAAGCCTATAGACTGCCAAGCAGGAAGAGCGGAAGTACCATCCCTGACTGGCAGAATTTGCACCTAGCACATTTCTCCTCTGCAATGTTGGGCCCAGAAACTGGAAAACAAAGATCTGCTGGGCAGTGTGGTATGCTCCAGCATAGGTGAAGATCCAGCCCTAGCTGTCCCTACACATCCCTGCACTCAAGTACCACGTGGCCCTTGCTTCAGTCTGAGAACCCCCCCACTTGCAGATGTGGCCACTGAGGCAGAGGCCCCGCTTTGAGGGCACAGGGCTCCAAGAAACATTAGGTGCCAACCCTGAGCAGGACACCGGCTTTTCGGGGGAACCCATACGCAGCCGCGGGTCAAGGGGACCCAGGCAGGGGTGGAAAGGCCAGAAAGCAGGGTAAAGCCTGGCAGGTACAGCCTGGAGCCACATGGCTGCAGCTCCTTCCTGGCTGGGTGTGAGCTCATGCTGCTATCCTGTGCTCATCTGCCCTCTGCATGGGTCTCCAGGGAGGGGCTGGGTGCCATGGTGCCCCTGCTCTTGCCCAGCAGGGCAGGCCCAGTCCCCGTAGCCCAGATGCCCCCTAGCAAGACTGTGGCTCCTAGACCTCCAAGGTGTTTCCTCCGCCCCAAGGGCACACCAGACTCTCCCCACCAGCGGTTTAATGGCTGCATCACTCAGCAGCAGCTTTGCCCAAAGAAAGAAACACAGAGGGGTGTCCTCCTCATCTCACAGAAACATAAATACGTAAATTACATGTTTGCACATCTAACATCAGACGTTTATTCACGGCACAGCATCAAGGAGCCTGAGAGCCCAGCCCTGGGGCCAGCGCTCCACAGAGGGAGGTTGTCAGCAAGAACAGGGCCCGTCCCTACCAAGCCCCAGGCCTCCCCGTCATCATGCTGAAAGGCCCCGCGCTGCAGGCAAAGAACGACCCCATGAAGACGTGCTGCTGAAGACATTCCTTTATGACACATCTTCATAAACACAAACACCACAGACGTTCGCAGTCACAACCCACGGGCAGCAAGCGATCCTGATGGTTACATGAGCCTCGAGGTGAGGGATGACGGGCAGCAGGCCGGGGGCAGCGTGGTGCTGCCTGGGCACTGGCTCTGGAGAGCAGACAGCGAAGCAGGTTCCCTTGGTGGAGTCAACGCTTCCTCGTCCACGGGGCTGCTCTGATGGGCGCAGGCCTCCCCTCAGGAGGCCACAGGCTGTCGGCCACGTGTCCTTCTTGGGCCCGCTCCTGGTAGGTTCTGGAATCCCAGGAACAAGCTGCATTCCTCAGGTTCTCATCATGGGGCAGGCCCTGGGCAGTGCCTGAGCAGCTCTAACCTCCCAGTTGCCAGCAGGGAGCCTCGAGCCACGAGCCACGTGCAGGGAGCCTCGAGCAACCGAGCCACGAGCCAGCGCAGGGGCGGGTCTAGACTCGGTTTCGCAACTAAAAAATGTGACCACAGGACACTTTTCATGTGTATGGGTTTTGTTGCTGGGTTTTTTTTTTTTTCTTTTGGTTCAAAAATAAACATAACAGGCTCTCAGGTATATAAAACTGGTAATATTAGATAAAAATACAAATTCACCTTTACAAAACAAAAAACAAAACAGCACACACGCACGTTTCCATTGAATACACATAAAGCGTAACATCTTACCAAAAATAAAGAATTTCGGTTCTGTCCAAACACTGGCAGCAGCAGGGAGCAACCTCACACAGCCACACAGGCAGCCACATCCCACAGCGTGGGTGGCGGTGGCACACAGGCAGGGGCGTGGGCACAGGGGCTTGGGGACGGCATTCGACTGTTCGATTGGTTCACGCATAGTTTTCTCAAAATGGCTTAAATTAAAAAGTGAAGTAAAATGGGGCAAGTGCGAAACACATTAAGCCAGAAACATTTAGGAAATGATGCATAGGTGGGTATACCATGTTTATTTTAATACATCTCATTTGTTTGCATCCTGCTAGGAAGAATACCGTCCCACTGTCCTGTTACAGCAGCCTCAGGTCATCCGTGTAAATGTCATCCAAGAGATAATTAAAAACAAAACAAAACAAAAAAACCTAGGCAAAGAGTAAAAAGGAAAGCTTAATAATCACTTTATGGTGTAAAAAAAAATCCACTTAAGGCTCTCAGGAAGGTTTCTGTATAGACTTAAACACTACGGCAGGGAGGTTGGGTCTACAGTTGCCGTGGCAGCTTCCCAGACCTTTCTGGCTCCTGCGTGCCCCTGCAGGGCCCGTCAGCATCCAACGGAGTCGTCCAGAAAGCAGGCTCCGTGTCCTTGGCAAAAGCACCTGTGACCACCCTGGACAGAAATCCAGTCCGCTGAGACGTCTGTCACCCCCATTCCGTGGGGGCGCACCCTCCATCCGGCAGCTGTTCAGACATTTTTGTGAGTCAGTTTTGTTTTTCATGTTTTGTGGCTTTGTTTGTGCTCTCTCTCTCTGTCTCTCTTTTTTTTTTTTTTGACAAGGAAGCTTCTCATGGTTTCACCGAGTGCTACAATACTTGCTTTGATGTCACATTAAACAAATGTATACTGTCTCTTTGTTCTCCAGAGTGTGATGGGGACAGTTTTTCACAGAGGAGAACAAAGCACAGGCTGGCAGTAAGCACCGTACATAGTAGGTTCAGGAATGTAACACGCCATGTACATCCATGTCCCGGGAAAGGGCTGCTGGCTTATCCTCACCTCACATCTGCGGGGAGAGGAGAGAGACACTGAGCAGGGCCACCACCAGGGGGACGGAACTAAAGGGAAACGCGTAACCCAAGCTGGCAAAGGCACGCACACACACTGGCACATGTTAGGATTTTCAAATCAAATGGCCTTGTAACCCTTTCTGTAATATCCTGACCAGAACTGGTACTAGGAGCCCAGGATCTCACAGAAGAATATGGCTTGAGAGCAAACCCCATTCTCCCATTTTACAGATGTGGAAAACTGAGACCCCAAAAATTCTTTTGCTTGCTCACCACCTTCCTCTTTCTTCAGGCCTAACAGTAGGTTTCAAGAACTCTCTGGCAGCTAGCTTGGGCCATGGGGAGCCCTGAAGATGAATGTCTCCAGCCAGATAAAAGGGGCCTCCGTGACCAGGCAGAGCCAGACTAAACTCTGGGGTGCTCTTCCCCTTCCTATATCCCAGTCATTTGTATCCTCACTTGCCTAGGACCTGAAAGCTAGCCAGACAAGGGCACCCACCTCTGACTTTGGGGGTCCTGCCATCACCGGTCCATGGAGGCCAGAGCCCAGGGGTCTATAGAGAATGGAGCTACAGATAGGCTAGCAAAAGCCACAACTGAGAAATTGGACTGGGACTGCTTCTGGGACCCATCCATGTGTCCCTTTTCTTCCCCAAAGGAACCACATGAATGGAATGGACCCTCAGGATCAGACATCTCAAGGCTCCTTACTGGAAATATTCTACAGTCACACACTGCTCAACCAGAGCTGGGCTCTCAGACTCTTAGCTCTGAAGAACAACTCTCAACAATATTTATTTTGGAAGCTCTAAGCTCCTGCATGCCTGGAGGCAAGGCCCAGGCAGGTGCTTCAAGAGTCAGACGGGCCAACCCTACCTAAGAACCAGGAAGGCTTGAAACTGCTTCCTCCATAATGACTGTGGTTACCTAAATTCTTCTGGGAGCAGTGTTTCTTTCTAAATGACTATATTTCCTAGTCTCCTTGCAGCTGAGGGGTGGCCCCTAAGATCAAAACAAAAGTCACGGGGGTGGCATAGATTTCTCAGGGTTCTTTTGCCCTCTTTACTATTTTTCTCAAGCCTGGAACATAGGTGTGATTTCTGGAATTTTGGCAGCTATCCTGGTCACGAGGCCAAGATCTATCTAAGGATAGATAACACCAGTCACGGGCAGAGGGGAGTCCCGGTGATACCTTAAGACCACTGTAGCCTGCCCTAGTCTCCCTGGCTTTAAGTGATACTGATAAATGCCAGCTTTCCTCACTCTTTTCTGCTTCTTGTGTGCTACTAGCAACCAAACACAATTTCCAATGTAAGAGCCAGAAGCCCTAGACAGTTATAAAACATCTCCAGACAGGGATCAATTCAGCCTGGAAACTCTGCAAGCCTCAGTTTTTCCATCTGTCAAATGGGTGGGTAACTCACCCAACATGACCCCAGCTAGTAAGTCATAGCTACCCCACTGCTTTGCAGGAAACCCAGACAACTCCCCAATCAATGAAAAAGACCAAAGCCAGGGCAGGAGTTCCAGACAGAGGTGAGCCATGATGAGGCTTCCTGTGCAGCTGGAAGGCAAGAGTTGGCATGGGAGCAAGGAGACCCAGCTGACCCCAGAAGCTCGCAGATGATCAAGGGCAATCAGGGCCCGTCCTCACGCCCGCCCACCCGGCTGGAGAGTGATTCATGTGCGATCAGTCAGAGCGCCCACCCGCAGACTGGGGCCTGTCCAGCAACAGCTCCTACCTGGTTGGCTGCGTTAGGTGGGCTTTAACCTTTTTCTTTTCCGTTTTTTACCTGACTCCCTACGCCTTCCTGTTAATAGAAGGGCAGGGAGGGTGAGCGGGCCTAAAGGGAGGCTGTCAGGTGAAAACTGGAGGTGTTTATCTTTCTGAAAAAAAACTCAGTTATCGCTGCATGGAGGCCCTCCTGGTGCCCACCTGCCTTTACAGCTGGCCTGACACAGCAGGTCACAGACCCCAAACTGCTTCTGGGCGCAGCTGCCTGGCCAGGGGTCCTTCTACAGTCACGGCTGGCTGTCACTGCCCCCCTCTCCCCCGCCAGTGGGCTGAGCAGGGCCGAGGCTGCTCTCCGGCCAGACTCGGGGCTCAGCACCCCCCACCTGACGCCCGAGGCAGAAGCGCAGGTCCCGGGTGTGTGCCGCCTAGTCCTCGGCCTGCCGCAGGGCCGCAGCAGCAGGCTCAGAGCCTCCAGCCTCATCCAGGACAGAAACAGCGACGCGGTACTCACCGGCCTCCTCCTCTCGGTGATCGGGGTTCGGGCTGGCACTCGTGCACGCGCACTCCAGGTGCTCCTCCAGCCGCACCTGGACCTCTTTTAACTTTGGCTTCTTCCTGATGTATTCTACCTTGGCCACCTGCCGAGACAATGGCCCTACCGTGAAGTCTCAGCCACGCCTCAGTCATTAGTGTCCAGGGAGGAAGGAGCGCAGCCCCACCCCAGCCAGGAGAGGCAGCAGACAGCTGGCCTCTGACCCTTGACCTTCTCCCAGTGCAGAAGGTACAAGTCCTGGGGAAAAAACTGCTGCATAGTATTTACAGTTGCTTGGGGGGAAAAAACCCCAAAAGGTACACACATGCCTCAAAGGTGAAAGATGAAGCTCAAGGTGGGAGCTGAGGGGTGTAGCTGAAGAAAGGCATTAACTTTTTTTTTTAATTTATTTATTTATTCATACAGAACTGGGGTACAGGCCAGAGATGCGGAGGGTGAGAGGATTCACCAGAGACAGAGGGGGAGCAGAACAGGCAGATGATCAAAGTACACTGCTGAGGGGAGCAGCGGGTGGGTCAGGAGAGGTCTGCCGGGCCTTGTGGATCTCCTCTGGGGCAGGCGGGGATCGAACTCCTGCGCAAGTGGCTTAAGCTTCTCAGTGCTGTGCTTTAACCCACTGGGCCACCAGGGAGGGTCCAAAAGGCATTAACCTTTACATATTAGACAGACAGTGGAGGAACAGGCAATGTTTTCAAATGTGTGCTTTGATTATTAAAGGGGAAAAGCCACTGCTGTGGATGGGGTGTGCTGCTGCTGTGTGAGGTTCCTGGCCTGGGCAGCAGCCTGCACCCTCCCATCCTGTCCACCCACTCCGGTGACCACGGAAGAGATGAGCAACCCCGAGGGGCCGCAGGAGGCCAGCGCCGCCCAGATGTGCATGAGATGCTCAAGGACGCGCATCCTCGTGGCAGCCCCGCGGGCCCTAGCCACACTGCTGGCTTTATGGGGACTTCTCCCCGAGTGCACTCACGGCCACCGACAGCCTCAGTGTGAGACCCTCTCGTGGTCTCCAGGATGTGGATCTCCTTGCCCTCAGGGGAAGCCAGCCTTTCAGAAACATGGGTGAGGATGCTAGGCCGCCCAGCAAACACACCAGGGACCCAGGAGAGTTGTTAAGGGCTCAGATAAGCAGGAACCTCCTCTTCAGTCACCCAAAATCACCAACACCAACCTACTGGCCTTGCCAGGTGGAAATTCTCTAGGCAAAGAACCACAATGCAGACCTGGCTCTCTCCAAAATGACCCAGAGCAGTCTCAAGAAGACAGAAAATAAGTCAAGGACTTTGAGAAATCAAATCCCCACGGTCCCCACAGGCGGGGGGCACCAGGACATTGTGTTCTAGGAACACAGCTCCACCCTCCATAATGCATGCACGCACATGCCCGCACAGCACAGCCACATGCACAGACACGAGCACACACGTGTGCACACCGAGGCACAAAACGTGGCCTGTTCTTGGGAAACAGCCCCCCACGCACACACATACACACCGTGCATCCACACACTGGCATCGTCAGACATTGCCCACCAATCCCAACCACACCATCAAGGCCTATCCAGGCTCCACATGCCTCCCTCGCGTCACCCCACTACTGGACAAGGAAATGGGACGTTCTTTCAGCACCTTCTGTGGGATGAGTCCAAATACCAATCCGCCTAAGGGCAAGGAAGGCACAGGGCTCCGCTCCAACGTTCAGTAAAGGAAACTGAGGCACCGGGAGTCAAATGGTATGAGTGGTACCTGGCTCTCGGCATATGGCTGCTCCTCGCAAGGCCCCATTGCACGCACCCCCACCACTGCTGCCCTTGACCATGGCAACCTGCCCTGACCTCACGCCTCCTTGCTTGCCTCCTGGCTCACCTCCCTGCCCTAACAGTCCTGAGCCCAGCGGGCCAGCACCCACGGCCCATGCTCCGGCCCACTCTGTAACTACCATCTTTCTGCTCCTCCACACACAGGTCCTGTGGAGCTGGCCACAAGGTGGCCTCTCCTGTGCCACTAAGCTGGAGCCCAGCCTGCAGCCTTGCCCATGTCCTAGGTTCTAGGAACAGTCCTCAGGACACCTACTTCTCCCCCTCAGTGCTCCTCTGGGAAAGATGAGGCAGAAAGCAGTACCCACCCTGGTTAAACCCCAGAGTATTATCTGGAACTGGAAGGAGGTAGAAGAGACCCAAGACTAGAAGCAGATACCCCTAGCTGGGGACAGAGGGTGAGAGCAGAAGGAGGAGGGGTTATTTCCCAAGCTCATGAGGACTGGAGTCCAGAGCCAGGGAACCCCGGGAATGGGCTGGGCCACACACCTGATAGGTAAGCCAGCCCTTAGGCTCGTCCAGACTGCGCTGGGGCTGCCGGCCGCATTAATGTTTAACCTGAGGTGCAAAGGGTGCAGGCGCCCAGAAGCCATGTGAAGTGGTATGTGGCCCTGGGTGTGAACACAGGCCGCCAGGTATGAGCTCAGAGGAGGGGTCAGAAGCCAGACCAGGTGTAGGCTGGCTGGGAGGTTTCTTATGTTAAGAAGTGGGAGAGAGGGTGGTCTTAGAGGGGTTCTGTTCTTCCGGGCAACTGCAACCTGGGAGGCCCAGTCCTCAGGTTGTCCATTCCACCTCTGTCCCTTCCACCCACCAGGAGCCCAGCACAAGAATCTGAGGACTGTGCAGGCAGTTCTCAGTCTTCCTGGCTGCAAAGTGGAACATCCAGAACCATGACAAGGGATAAAGGTCATGTGTGTAGAAATACCCTAAACTTGGGAGTGCGCAATTCTTGGCCTTTCTTCCAAGCGTTCCCATCTCAGGGAATCAGCCCAGGCTATGAGTCAGGCGAGGCCAGACCCTACCTACCACAGCTCAGGGCCCTGGGAGACACTCTGGCAGTCTCTCAAGGAGGGGCTCCACCCGCTCCTCCAGAATGGGATCTCCAAGTCCTGCATCGGCAGGAACTGGGTCCTCGCTGGCTTCTGCCCACCATGGGTGCTCCCTCCAGTCTCTGAGGACCCATTGGCTCTCCTCCCCTGGGGCCCTAGTAGCTGAGAAAGAGCACACCTACCCCAGGGGCTGCAACAGCTCCCAGCTCTGAGCACCCTAACGCCCTCCACATGCCATTTCCAACTGCCCCAAGCTTTGGCTGGGGGGCAGGGGCAGGCAGGCAGGCAGTGCGAGGGGCAGGGCAGCTGTCCTGCTCTCAGGCCTGGCCCCTGGATGGCACAGCCTCTTTAGTCAACAAACACCTCACCCAGTTCCCACTGCAGGGCAGACGCCAGGACCTGGGCTCCACAGAGACCCCTGATTCCTAGGCAGGGGAACAGGCTGATTCTCTACCCAAGAACTCAGACTGCCATGGGAAGGTGGACCTCCAAAAACACATCCCCCTCAAGAAAAGGCACACAGCACAGCTGCTGAGTCTGCAAGCCTACTTTCCCTTCAGACGGGCCTGTTTTTTATCAAAGAAAAACAAACAGGGATTTATGATTGCACCTGCTTCTGGGTATGCAAGGATTTCAGGCCGTTCTGCCACCTCTGTCTGGCCAGGAAACAGCCACATTTTTCTCCCCAAAACATGCCATGAATGTTAAATTCTCAAAAGCTCCTCCATGCTAGCCAAGTCCAAAGACCAGAGACACTAACATCCTTGGAACCTCCACTCAGGTTGTCTCGCCCTAGGCCTACTATGGGCGCCCACACCCCACCCCCCACTTCATCCCCCTTGCTGTTTGATGTCTCCATGTCTGGGCTATACCTTATTAACCAGACATTCCCATCCATCACTAAGTTAGCCTGCATCACAATCAACCAGATGTACAACCAAGGACAAATCCACGCAAGAATATAACCCAGGAACATCAATACACCCTTTCTAGGTAAGGGATGCCAAGTACAGAAGACCCCATGATGCCCTGGCTGCTGCTGCAGATGTCCCCCGGGGACACCCCCAAGCCATGGCCTGATCACTCCAGAGTTCATGGAAGAGTACAGTCTGTAATGAAGACCACCTGTTACAAACCCCAAATGCCGGTCACTCATGTTCACAGTCACCCTGTGTGGGTACAATTTGGCCCATTTTACAGACGTGGACACTGAGGCAGCAAAGAAGAGGCCTGGACTGGCAAACAGCAGAGGCCCAGTTCCTGAATCTATGCAGACCCTGAATACCTCCCTTAACCGGGGACGACTTCCTAAGCCAAGGCAATGTGTCCAGGAACGTGGGGACACCAAAACCTGAGGGCTCCAGAGACATTATTCCCAGGCTCCCACCCACCCCACATCATCTAGACTGAGATTCCCCAAAATAGACCTCAGCTTGGCTTATCAGGCAGGGTGGTGGAACCTGGCCTCCTACACTGAGGGGTCTCCCCAGGTGGGAAAGGGCATCCCTACCTGTCAGGGGAGGCTCAGATCATGGCTGCCAGAGTACTGCTTTCTGTCAAAGTCCCTCGACTGGGTCCCCACTTACCAATCCCAGGACCCAAAGTGGCCTGAACTCCATTTATGGGATGCAGTGCAAACGCATCCTGGTTCCTAAAGACCTGCGGGCCTTACTGGTTACTTGAAAGCTCGACTTTGGCTCCCACTCACCAACTGCCCTGAAATATACTCCCAAACTTCCACTGACCAGAGTTTCTCCCACTAGCAGTGAGAGCCTGAGTTCTGCTCCTTCACCCTCACCCCCACAGGCAGCCTATAAAGCCAGGGGAGTCTGAGACAACAGTGACGCCATCAGGGCTACAGCTACCACCATCCACACCTGATTCTGGCGCTCTCTCCCCGAAACTTCGTTCAAACCCTGGTGCTTATGTCTGGGGGACAGAGTCAGGGTCCAGGACAGCCAGCATTTGGGGGTTCAAGAAAGGACAAACCCTTGAAAGGAACTAGGGCACAGGCTCAACCCTGGCTGGGCAATATGCCACAGTGAAGCCTGCCACCCAGGATCCTTGCCCACCACCCCCTGGCCTGTGGCCCCCACTTGGTGGCAACACTGGCGGGGAGCCTTGCGGAGAGTGTTGGCCCAGGACGAGGCCTCCTGGTCTAGCCGCCATCCGGAAAGCAGGAGAGCCCAGCCCCAGATTCCACAGGTCAAAGGCCCCATGCCTGAGACCCAGGGCTGGCCACCCTCCAAGAGGCCCCAGAACATCCAGACACCAGGGCCTGGGGGCCACTACCTGGCCTTTAGCCAAGTGTAAGCTGGACAGCTCACCCGCCAGGGCTGGTGACGCTCAGCCTTACTGTCTTCTTTTAATGAAAGAACTTAAAATCAAAAAGTCAGAAGCAGTCCCTCCCTCAGTCAGGACAGGCAGGGGAGCCATGCCTCCCACACGCACAGCAACACTGGTCCCTGCTGACCCCAGCGCCCACTCCCACATGCACTGTCTGGGATTCCAAAGGGCCCATCTCCCAGCTCTGAACTCAACCCCAAAGGGAGCGGGAGCAGAGCAGCGTCCTGGCTAACCATGGGGCGCCCAGGCTGGCCTCCACAATGGGCCTCCTGTTCCCACTGACCTTTTGTACCCTCTCTGCCAGAACCCCCAGTGTCTGGGGCCGGATGTTTTCCTGCCAACCCTCTGATGGGTGGGCAGGGAGGAGATGCTTCCCCTGGAGAGAGGACCATGCAAGGCTGAGCTGAGGAAGCGGCTGCCTGGGCTCAGCACTGTCTCACCTTCCTGAACTTCTCCAGCTGTCTGTGATCCTGTCTGTGATCCTGTCTGGCCAGAGAGCGTGGGTGTACCAACTGCTTTGGGCCCACTGGGTCAAGGGCAGAGATGGGTCTCTCTACCATGCTGCCAGGCCCTGAAGGACCCCTGGCCTTGGGGCTCTGATGGTCTTTGGACCCCTAGACCAGGGGAGGGAGACAGGGTCATTGTCCATCTTAGGATTGCACACTCCATGCTCACACATGCAAGGGAGAGTGGGAACACTGGGGCTCCCTGGAGAACACCATTTCATTCCAGCACCTCAGTACTTCTCATGATCCCCTATCCCAGACACTAATGAACAACAACTCAGCACACAAATGGGAGCCATTCAGTCTGGCATGCCTCCACCCTGATGCCCAAGAGGAAAGCAACTCAGGTATCCAGATCTTGGGGCTCCTGAACCTCTCCACAAACTAAATGAGGACAAAAGCAGCAGAGACTGGTAGGGAGATGCAGCAGGGGCAGGACAAGGCACCCTGGGGTGCACTGCATAGGTTTGTGCCCTCCTGCCTCAGCCTCCTCCATTATCAGGAGTGAGAAGTGGGGATATAGTGCTGGGCCCCAGAGCTGGATGTGAGAGTGCAGTCTGGCCCGTTGGCCCACACAATATTCCCCCAACCAAAGCAGCCTGAGACAGTGCCCAGACCGGCACTCTGGGAGCACCTCAGAGATTCAAGGGGAATGTCCACTTGGGGCGACATGGGCAGTAAGTGTGGAATTTGCTTACTCAACCCCCGAAGCACGGGAGAGGCCCAAGTCCCGGGTCAGGGCAGTTCCAGTGCTGAGTCTAAAGTGCCTTCTCGTGAGAAGTGGCCCGGCTGGCTGCGCTTTGTCCCTCTGGGCTGTGGCCGACATGAATAGCCTGGAGTTCAAGCAGCCCAGGGGATTGAAATGTTGTCTCATCAAGGAATGGGTCTAATTCAGTCTCAAAATGAAATCACCCTGGGAAAAACAGCTCCAGTTCAGTGGAGACGGGCAGGATTCTCCACATGGAAGGTATCAGTTGACCAAATTCACACCCCTCTGGGGTCATGTGGGACCCCAAAGAGAGGAAGCCTTCAGCCCCCCGAAAAGAGAGCACCCAGAACTTTCTAGCCTCAGTCAAACCTCACAGAGGTCAGGAGACTCCTAAACCCTCCTTGCACCAGTCTTCTGAGGAGACCGACAGGGGCTCCATACTTAGAACCAGGAACGCTCCCTTCACTCTGACATCAGTCACAACCTGAGGGAAGCTTCCCACATCAGGCCAAAAATTTGGTCCTGACTCGACCCCCACAGTGACCAGAAAAAGCAGACTCCCTCAAGGACACAGGCAGGGAAAACAAGAAGCCCCCTCAGGGACAATCTGACCATGACCTTCCTCTGCCCCCAGCACCACCCTGGAGTCACCTCAGCCACCTCCCTCCCTCCCAGCAGAGGCTTTGTGGCTGGAGACCAGCTGTGTGGCCCCAAGGTCTCAGGCTGAGGGCACAGACCATCATAACCCTCACCACATTCCACGTGTCTGAGCAGTAAGCTCATTCTGAAACAAGGGGAGGGCTGGAGGAGGGTCCCCAGAGGGTCTTTCCAGAGAACCATCAGCAAACAGCACATCTCTCCCAACGGACTAGGGTGCCCCATGCCAGGGCCCCACACCAGAGCTCTGCGTTGGGAGTTAACGCTGGCATCTGGACCTTGCCCCCCCCTTCCTAGTTCCCCTGTGTCCTTCTAGGGAGAGACTCAGGAAGCAAGGCTGGCCCTGGGGGGACTCACCCACTCCTGCCACACACTGCAGCCCCAGTGCCACAGGAGGGTCTGTGGGCACCCTCCTGAGCCAGCAGGATGCCAGCCTCCAGCTAAGCGCTCCACACCTCGCAAGGCCTGCGATGCAGGCCCAAGCAGCAGACAAACCTTCATCATGAGCTTTCCATCCTCACTGCCCTTCCCAACTGTTGTTCCATGCGGGAGGCTGCGCTGCGTGTGGCCAGCAGACGGGACACCCGAATCATAACCAAAACCTGTCCAGTCCCAACTCTAGCACCTTCCATCCCCTCCATGGGTCTCAGTGTGTTTGTCAGAGAAATGCGCTCATGGCTGCTGCCTGAGACCTCGGCCCGGAGCCCCGCTGCCAGCCAGTGGAGGTCGTGGGCCCCCGAGGATGGGGGGGGGCTCACCTTGACACTGCGGTGGTGGACACGGGAGGGCTGGCACTTGACGCTACTGGTGTTGCAGCAGCCGGTGCAGCGCTTCACCTCCACACACGGGGGCCAGATCAGGAAGTTGGCAGACGTGGGGTCCACCTGGCTCCGAGGTATCTCGTAGATGACCGTCCTGGTCTTGCAGACTGCAGGTATGGCTTCCTCTGCAGAGACAAGGGCCTGTGAGTGCAAAGCCACATCCCACCCCAACCTATGCCACTCCACCCCCCACCCTCAGCCTCTGTAACCCCTCAGAGCTGCCAGGCTGGGGGCACTGGGTTTCCAGTGCAGGCAGGAGTCTTCCCCACACAGCTGCTGCTTCTTTCAGCATGAGGCGTTTCACACAGCGCCAGGGCCCGGCGAAGGTGGGATGCTCCCCCACCAGAGTCAGCTGTGCTGGGCAAAGCAGAAGCAAGAGCTCCCGGGTCAGGCAGAGAAAAGAGGCAGTTGGCAAAAGGACTGAGTGACACTGGGAGCCAAGACACAAGGAGTTCTATGTGACCCATGGGTATAGAGCTCCCCAAGCACACAGCTGAGGTAAAAATGGAAATTGAGGCAAGTGGGGCTGGGGGAGCCCAAGAACCTGCCTCATCTATGCTCTGGAGGCTCCTGAGGCTGGTGAAGGATGAGGAGTAGCAAGGTTAGGAGCCTGAGAATAAAGCAGCCGGTCATGCAACCAACTTTTCCCCCACAGGGTGGAGAAATCAGGACACAGCCAGCTTGCTGCTGCAGCACCAATCAAGAATGAAACCCACACAGGAGCAGGTCAGCCTTCAGGGCTCAGGACCCCTAACCGCCTCGCTGGCCCAGGATGCTCTGGACCACCCATAGGCTAGCCGGGCTGTTTTGCTGTGCCTCCCTCAGGAACTAAGCCAGAAGGCCCAGGAAGGCCTTGCATACAGGCAAAGGATTTGGGAGCATGGACACACTAACTCCCCAACCTGGCCAGGGAGCTGCTCATTGAAGGTCCCCAAGAAGCCACCCCAAGTCCAGGAGCCCCCCCCCAAGGGGGAGACAGATATTTTCTATTCCATGGTGATCCATCCAGCACGGCTGAGCTCCCTGAGGAACACCCTGTGGATGCCAAGGTGCAACATGGCAAGAAATCCTCACTGTATGCCACATCTCCCTCCCATACACTGCCTTGTGTGGCAAGACCAGTTTCCAAGCTGGGCATTATGCCATGGCCACATGGAAACATCCAGGCACACAGACTGGCCAACGGGAAGCCCTACAGGCCAAACACATGTCCAGGGAGCCTGGTCAGCAAGCTAAGGGGCCACCTGCTAGAGCTCTAGCACTGTAGGACTCCAAATAAACCCCAAAGCCCAGAGCCAGAGGGAACCAGAGTCAACCTAACATACTGGAGCAAAGGGCCCCAGCACCCCTAAACCAGGGCTTAGATAACCTGAGCACCAGCAACAAGCAGAGCCAAGAGACTGAAATGTGAGTGAAGAACCAAGCTTTCTTGCCTTGCCCAAAGCCAGGGAGGGCATCAGAGGCCCACCTGTCCTCTTTTTCCAGGGGCCAGAGGACCTCAGCAATCTGCCCTCTGGGAGCACCAGAAAAGCCCCTTATTCCACCTCTAAGCCAAAGAAAGAAGACGGGGCACTAGAGGTATAGCCACCCCAGAACACCCTAAGATAAAGTGGGGACAGGGGGCCACCCACAATGCCTAGTCTGTGCCTACCAAATAGGAGGTTGGTGGAGGTCATGGGTAAAGCCAGGAAAAAGCCTTCAGTCCAACTCTTAGAAACTTCCTCCCCTGAAGCAAGGCAATCTGCAGCATTTACTAGAGTGTCAGGTCTTTGACATTAGCGTGAAGGGCATGAAACATAGGGTCATTAACAGTAAACACCATCTGGGAAGGGTCTGCTTGTCTTGACCATGACATTCACCCACATACTACTCAAAGGCAAAAGCTATAAAATTCATCTACAGCTCAGAGAGGGAGATTCACTTGCCCAAGGTCACACAGCCAGTAAGTAATGTCTGACCCAAAATTCACAGACTGGGACCTCAAGTGGCATGGGCCTAGGCCATTCCAGAGGCAGGAACAAGCAGGTCATACCCTCTCCTCAATGCTGAGTCAAGGCCCTGAAGACCCCACCTTGGGTCCTTCCTCAAAAGGTCTGACAGACAAGGGGGTCTACAAGAGGTGCAGACGCACCCAGGTGGAGCCCTCAGGCGAGGGCATGGGCCACGGGAAGGGAGGTGTCTGCACCCCCTGTTCTGCAGCTCTAGCTGGGAGCACTCAGTGCCCCACATGACGAATTGGAAATTAACCACGACCACGTTTTCAAGCAAGGCCTCCTGGAAAACAGGCCCCAACAAGACAGGGCACTTAAGGAATTTATGACGCTCGCCTCTCCTGGAAGCTCAGCCCAGGCCAAGCCTGCAGCAAGGAGCAGGGGGCTGGGGTAGGGAGGTACCTGACAAGAAAGAGGCCTTAGGAGTCAGGCAGACACAGTTGAAGGCGCTGGGCCCCAAGCAGCCTGCACCTTTTGTTTTATGGGAGGAAAGGGGTAACTACCCTGAAGTCACAGTTGGAGGATAGCAAGCTGGTTCCCCCAGAGCCTGCCAACCTTCTCCCCACCCCCAGGGCTTACCGATGCTTCTTTTCCTCCGAATGGGCACAGGCCGCTTCTCAGGTACATGCTTGGTGGCGCGGCCCCCATGGGCTTTCAGGCCAGTTTCCAAAGCATCCTCAGCCCCTGCAGGTAGAAGAAAATGGCAACCAGCTCACAACTGCCAAAAACACTCCACTAAGTTTGCAAGGTCTACATAGGGACCCCCAAATGTGGCACTCTTGCTGCACCTGGGACCTGTGGAGAGTCTCCTATAGTGCTTTCCCAAAGGATGACTGAGTGAGGGCTGAAAGACCCTGAGGCCGTCATCCCTGTCTATAAGACCCAGAAGCAATAGGCCTACTGTGCATTGTCTGGGTCCTCAGACAGGGTCTCCCTAATCAGGTCCCTTGGACGGGGTCCTTGGGACACTCAGACAGGACCCCATGAGGATGCTCCAACCTGGACAGGGACCTTAGAAAGGACACCCCAGATGGAGCCTCCTGTACAGAGCACTTCCCACAGGGTCCCCCAGAAGCTCCCCTGACAGGCCCACCCCAGACAGAACACCTTTGACAGGGTCTCCTGGGCAAGATATCTCAGACAAGACACTTGTAACAGCTTCTCCCCCTCCCCCCGACAGGACCCCCAGATAACAGGCTAAGTCCAAGGACCAGCTGAAGCTGCAACTGGACTTTTTTGAGCACATGCATCTCTTCCACATCCTTCACATTGACCCAGCCCTGATGGAGCACCCTAACCTTTGAGGGGCAAGGCTTTGGAGGGCAGATGGGGCTGAAAATCTCACCCCATTTGTCCTGAAACCAGTCCACTCTGAGAATGAGAGGGGAGCCCAGGCTGCCATTCAGTGTAAAGCAAGGAGTAGCCATGGCCTGAGATGGGAGTCCTAGTCTGGGTGACTGGGTGAAATCTGGGTGAAATGGGGTGACAACCCGCAGAAAGAAAAGCACATAGCACCCAAGGATCTGAGTGCAGCCAGGAGGGATGGAGAGAGGGTGGTCCTTAGGCCAAAGAGCAAGGTCCAAGAGCTGAGATCAGAAAAGGACACCACTGCCCAGGTTGGCTCCAGTCCCACCCACATGTAACCCTACCCTCTCCCCACTAGTGCCCCAGACAGACAAGGAGCATCGGGTCTCTCCGATGCCTGGCAGAAAAAGGTGGAGTGGACACCATCCGCACCAATCAATTGGGCTTTTTTCTGCCGATTTCTGGAATGTGATAGGTCACACCCAGCCTTCCTTCCTCGGCCCCAGACACCTGCTTCTCTCTCTTCATCCCTGCCTGCCAATAGAAAACCAGCAGCTCCAACAGCCAGGAACTCGAGCAGCTGTGCAAAGACCCCCCAGTTTGAAGCCTCCTCCTCCGAGGAGCATGCCCATGTGGTGGTGTGACCACCAGCGCACACCAGAAGTCCCCTTCTCAGCGCCTGACCCATCTCAGCACACTGACCCCACAAACCAACCAGAGACACCCTACTTTCTCCCCTTCCTCAGACACTCCCTCCAGGCTGTCTACAATATGTGCTTGTTTAAAAAGAGGCGGGGATACTCTGACAGCTTCCCTTCTTGCCCAAGACAGGGCCCCCAAATATCAGGTTAAAGCCAAGGACCAGCAGAAGCTGCAACTGGACCTTTGGGTGCACATGCATCTCCACCCCATCCTTCCCGTTAAACCAACTGCGACGGAGCACCCTAACCTAACCTAACCTAACCACCCTAACGAATATGGGGTGTGAAGTATGGATGGCAGAGGTATTTGTGTAGAATATAGAAGCCTGAGCAGAGCCCAACTTTTTACTTCAAATGACTCAATGTTCCAGTGCCACTAATTTTTGAGACCCAAAATAAGATCAGAACAGAACTACTCATGCAATAAGTATTTCCCATCAACCAACTGTTACAAGAAGCATTTTTTTTTTCACAAAAAAAGTGACATTTATGAGTCATGTCCCAGTGGTGGCCATCTTACCATCACCAACCCAAGAGCAGCCGGTCCACTCTCAGCTCCTAAGAGGACGTCTAACACCAGTTACCATTTTCAGTGTCTTATTGCAGCCAGGCTGCTGATTTCATCCTTACATGTAGACAGCAGGTCCTGTTGCATCTTAACCTCTGAGGAAACAGGCTCACAGTGATGATGGAGGCTGTGTCCAGGCTCAGACTGCCCTCCTGCCCCGACCCCACTCGCTGTCTTCATAAACAGAAGACAACTGTCCTCCCTACCTACCCCCTACTGAAATCTGAACCAGGAAGTGCTTTCCAGGCAAGAGACAGCAGAAAGAGCTCTTCCTCAGACACCCTCTGCAGGGACCCAGAAGGGCGGTCAATGAACCGGCGGGGGAGTGGCAGTCTGACTGATGGTGGCTGAGCAGTAACCCCAGCAGAGACTAACAAAGGCCCTGTGGAATTACGCCCCAAAAGTACTCTCAGGACAGTTAATCAAGAGGTTTCCCTTTTGTCTTTTATGCACAGATGCCCCCAGTGATGCTGGCCTGGAGAAGTCCTCCAGCATCAGGGCTGTTGGAGCATTCATGACCTGAGATGCAAATATTTATGGATCAGCGGCTCGATGACCAGGGCACTGGGCTGACCAGGGCACTGGGCCCGACACCCTGTGGAGAACTGGGCTCCCCCACTGCCACTCCACTCCCAGGTTTGTTCTCATCACATGTGATCAACAGGTCCTAACTCCATGCCACAAGCTGGTCTCAACCCACAAGCCCCATGTGAAGGATCAACTCCCTTTATGCACCACTTCTTAGACGCTCAGGTTTCTTGGGCTCAGGTATGAGAAGGGTCTCACCGACACACAGAAGATGCTAAATTAGACCCACTCAGTTTCCTCATCTGTAAAACTGGAAGGAGCCTGAATTCCACATGCCAATCACAAAGCCCTCCCCAGACTGGAGGGAGAAACCAGCCTGTTTTAACCTTGTAAGTACACATCATTTTACTGACGAACGAAAAGGAAGAAAATGCTATATGTTGGACCTACTGCTTGCCATTTTCCTGAGCAGTACTAGCCCCAGAGCCCTAGAGAGGGATCGAGGGTCACCACCCCCAGGAGTCCCCCAGGAGTAGGTAGGATTGGGCTTTTCCACACCCAGGCCCTCCCTCACTGATCCCAGGGGGACCTCTGACTAATCCTAACAGGGAGTCTAGGACTTGACCCCAGTTGTTTACAACCTTCCCTACCCATCCGCTATTTCCACTCCTCAGTTCAGGTGGGAACAGGAGTTGGTAGAAAGATACCCAATACCCCAATTGGAGCTCTAGATGCAACTGTCCTGTCCTCAGCCAGAGGCAGATCCCCTGATTCTCAGCTTCCATGCTTGTGAAGGGGTGGGGGGCTGGGCCAAGATGAAGAAGCCCACTCTGGGGTTTGTGTCACGAAGGGTCCCCCTAGGGGCAAGGTTAGTGAGCAAGAAAACCTTAGAGTTTCCTGCTCCAATCGCACCCTGAAATTTTCCAGACACTCGCAGTCCCTTCCTAAAAATCATATTCCGATTCCAAAATGTCTGACAGGTAGACAGGGGCAGCGGGGGAGGGAGATCCCCGAACATTTCCCTAAGGTAAAGTGCAATCAGCCTGGAAAACTGGCAGGGGCACCCAGCTTTTTATGTTTGAACCCTGCCAGGGGAGGCTCGAGGGCCCAGAAGCCCCAGGCCAGGAATGCCATCAGCATAAGCCAGCAAAGCTGCAATGCTAAAAGTGTTAATGGTGGGGGGCAGGGGAGGCGGGGCACACGGACTAGAATAAGAATGGTCCCCGCAGAAAGTGAATGGCCCATTTCCCTCTGGCGTCCAAATGACGGGTTTGCTGGGGGGCCTAGCTCTTCACCAGCCTCACTTCTGCAAGCCAGTAAAAGTACCCTAAAGCCTTTCTGGGAGGCAGCCTCCCCACTTTCCCAAATCCACCAGGGACCATCAGGATGCCGGCGAATGTTCTCAGCTAACCAAAGCCAAATCCTTCTCCCTGGGGTTACACATCAAGGAACCAGATTAAAATCCTCCCCAGCCCAACTCTGATCTCAAGTGAAATTCTAACCTCATCGCGATAAGGATCAGCCAGAGGATTTCCTGGGTCAAGAAACTACAGAAACCATGGGCCTTGCTAGAAAATGGTTTTGGCATGAAGTGAAAATAGTTCAGGCCTCCCCACCACCGTAATTAGGTACAAATTTCCAAGTGACTAGACCATGTGATTTTACTTAATTCTTCCAGAACTTTTCAGAAAAGTTTGCAGTGAGAGAAAAAATTTCATTTCACTTAAAATTCTTCCCACCAACTTCTGCCACCTTTACTTTGTTTGACAAATTCATTTTGAGGCCAATTTTTTACCAGTCAATGAAAAGGTTTTCCCCGATGCATATTTCACTAGTTAACTCATGCTGGAGGAGTTCCCATGCCAAATACTAATTTCCAAAAGGATGCCACAGGATGTACATCAGAACCCTTATTTTCCAGGAAGGGGCTCCTGTTACACACCAATGTGCAGTCACCCAACAAGACATGGCTGCACCCCACCCTCCAACCCAGGTCGCTTCCACCCCTGCAGATCCCACCAGGTGTGAACCACTCCAGTTTCAAAACTTCACTTTATACACAAACTGTTTTTCTAACAGCTCCAGGGCCTGACAATGAGCCCTAACTTAATCCCCAAATAGCTGATGTGCCCAAGGGGACCTTTTCATTGGTTCTGAAAAGAGAAAGACATGGGCCCTCTGCAGTCGCAAAGGCCCGGCTGGCAGAAGCGGGCACGAGCTCGCCAGGATGACAAAGGGGCCCTGACCCGCGGGCGTGGCTCCTCCCTCGCACCGCCTGCCGGACACAGGCCAGGGCTCGGTGCCCGGGGCCTGGGCCTGCTCTGCCGCACACCTGGCTGGGGCACCGGCGCCCTCTATGTGGCTGAACTTTCTGTGACACACGCGGCGTTTTCCTTAAATGCAAAAACAATCCCCGGGCAAGGGAGCAGTCCTCAGCCGCAGGCGCGAGAGAAAGTGGTGATTGGAAGAGAAACTCCTGACTCATCCGCCTGGGCTTTTATGGCCCGGGATTGGATTCTGACCTTTCGGTGCGCTCCTGCGCGGCGCCCGGCCGGGCCCGAACACGGGAGGCGGCTCAAGGCGCACACACTCCCCGCCCGCCCGTGCCCGCCCCGCGCTCCGAGGGAAGGGGCGCGATTTACCTACGGAGTCTATCTCCAGGAGTCGCTGGAGGTCCCGGATGCTGTGGATCTGACTGTGTGCCAGCCTCTCAATTACCTCGCGGGGGATCTCGGCTTCCTGCAAGCAGAGCCACACGGTCAGCGCCCGCGGCCCGGCCCCGTCGGCTCGCGCCCCCAGCCGCCCAGGGCGCCTCATTCCGAGCCCGAGGCTGCCCCCGAGCCCAGCCCCGCCCCAGGAGGGCACCTGGCACGCAAGCCACCAGAACCCTAGCCCGGACCTGAAGCCAAAGGCCGGGGTGGGAATGGGTGAGACCCCCCCCCAAATTCTCTTTCCCGATCCGTGCCTGCCCTTTGCTTCGAAAAACAAACAAAAAAACCTGACACCACCCCCCCCCCTTTAAATTTTCAAACAAAAGCCCGACACTCCGGCCCCTCGGTCCTGGTGTCAGTTACAGGAGGTCTGGGAACAGGCAGGGGCCAGGAGTCATGATTTAATAGTGAAATCAACATCTAGAAAGATCAAGTTGAAATGCGTCATGGATCGGCGACGAAAGTCACGCAGTTCTAACACTTTAATCCAGTCAGGGGCTTAAATTTCACATCCCGGAATCCCGGGCCTAACCTGCGGGGGAGAGGGTCTCCGTCTCGCAAACACGCGCGCGCGCGCACACACCCACACTTGCCCCACCCGGGCTCCGGCCCAGCCGCAGCCCTAGCGCCGACTAAGACGCCCCAAATCCAGCGGGGCGAATGAGAGAGGCTGGCAGGCATGTGACGGTTAAAAACCCACCTCTTGTAGCCCCGGGGTCCCAGTCCAGACCACCCACTACCACCATACTCCTCCCAGATTTCTAAAAGGAGTCGGGGGTCGCGGGGGGAGGGGTCCCCAATCACTAAGTTCCCACGACGGGGGTTGTATAAAGTCATTCATCACGGCAGAGCTCCCTCGATTCGGAATTTGAGATGGGGTAGGGGATGCGGGTGTAGGCGGGCACGGACGCCTGGCCCGGTAGGGGCTCGCTCCCTCAGCCACCTGTAAGCAGGCCGGGGCGGGTGGGACTGCGCGGGTTCAGCCTCTCGGCCTGGCTTGGGGACCGGGAGCAGGGGTGCTGTGGCTCTATCTGCTCCCCCTGCCTGCGGTGGGCTTCTGGCCACTGCCGCCCCTAGCTGTTTATCGCAGCTTTCCTCCCCTCCCCGGACTCCACCGGTTCACACACCCCCTTCCGTGCTCCCCACGCCCCGATACTGCATTGCCCGCAGCGTCCGGGTTTTCCCTCTCCGCAGGACCCCGCGCCCCCCGAAGTTTCTCCCCACTCATCCACCCCGCAGCTCCCCGTCCCTCCACGGCAGCGACGCAACACGCTGGAAACTCACCAGACGTTTAGGCATGGCAGAAAATAGAACCCAGTTGGGAAAATTAAAAAAACGACCTCCCTAGCAGAAATCAAAATGCGCTCTGCAGAGTCCCAGACCTCGGGGCGCCCTGGCCCGCGGGCAGCCGCAGGGGGCGTGCGCCGGGGTGGCGGAGAGGGAACGGGCGCGGGGGTGGCACCCACCTCGGCCAGGGCATGGGCGAGGTATCCGCAGCAGAGGAGCAGCAGGCAAGCCCAGGTCTTCATCGCGTCCCGAGGCGCTGGCAGCTCGGCGGGGAGGCGAGGCCGCGGGGCGGGCGCTCCAGCCGGGCTCCTGTGGCGGCGAGATTCAGTACCATCCCTCAGGGAGCGCGGCCCAGAGGAGGGTGGCGCGGAGAGCAGGGAGCCAGCGGAGCGCGCCCGGCGCGAGCAGCGAGTGCGGAGAGGCAGGCAGCGCCGAGAAGGAGGAGGAGCAGGAGAGCGCGCCCGCCGCACCCGCTGCGCGGGGAGCCTCCTGGGCCGCCGAGAAGGGGGTGGGGACGGAAGGGGCGGAGGGCGGGGGCTGGGCCTCTTCCTTGGTGCCTGCCCGGTGCTGGCCGCCGCCGCGCTCGCTCCCCTGCGCTGGCTTTAGGAGCGACCCGGCCGGTAATTCTGCATATTTGCGGGCATCAGCCCCGAGAGGGACCCCGGAGTGAGGCTGGAGCCGCCGCCGCCGCCGCC